TCAAAAGGGCTACAAGTGTTATCATCCACCCTCTCGGAAATAGTTTGTCTCTATGGATGTGTCTTTCTTTGAGTCTCAGTCCTACTTCCTGTCCTCACCGGTGCCCCAGTCATCCCTTCAGGGGAAGCCTTGGTGTGAAGCGATTCCTGTATCACTCCCATCAGTGATTAAGCAGGATGTTAAGAGTGACTCAACTATTGAGACTGTTGAGCCTGAATCTGAAACAACAGTGAAAGATGGCAAAGTTTATGTCAGGGACAAAGATAGAAAACAAGTTACTTGGGTACAAAAGACCAATTCGGAGTCTCCACTGCTATCTTCTCCTTCTGATAAATGTCTAAACTTCTGCTGATGAAACTCCAGGTAACTCTATTCTTTCTGGTTTAGATGTTCCCATTACTAATAGAAAGAGGGTTAAGTCGTGTACTCAACATCCTATTTCTCATTTTGTCTCTTATACGAATCTGTCTTCTTCCTATAAAGTTTTCCTGTCTAAAGTTTCTTCTGTGAGTCTTCCTTTTAATTTTCAGGATGCTCTTTCTACTCCTGAGTGGAAGCATGCCATGATGGAAGAGATGAGAGCTCTTGCTAAAAATGGCACTCGGGAATTGGTTGAGTTACCTAAGGGCAAACAACCTATTGGATGTAAGTGGGTGTACACTGTGAAGCACAAAGTCGATGATTCAATTGAATGTTACAAGGCAAGATTGGTGGCCAAGGGCTTTACGCAGACTTATGGAGTAGACTATCAGGAGACATTTGCACCTGTTGCTAAGATGAACTCTGTCAGAGTCCTTCTCTCCCTTGCCTCTAATCTCGACTGGCCTCTTCATCAATTTGATGTAAAGAATGTTTTCCTCCATGATGATTTGGAAGAAGTGTACATGGACCTTCCCCCCGGCTTTGAAGATGTTAAAACCAAAGGAAAAGTGTGCCGACTACGCAAGTCACTTTATGGACTTAAATAGTCTCCTAGGGTTTGGTTTGAGAGATTTACTCAGGCCATGCTGCGATATGATTTCAAACAGAGTCAAGCTGACCATACTTTGTTTCCTCCCATGGTAAGATGACGGCTCTTATTGTCTATGTCGATGATATTGTACTCACCAGAGATGATGTTGAGGAGGTTCCTTGGTTAAAGGAATATTTGGATAATGAGTTTGAAATCAAAGACTTAGGCAGCTTGAAGTACTTTCTAGGTATTGAGGTTGCTCGGTCCAAAGATTGTATCTTCATATGTTAAAGAAAGTATGTGCTTGATTTGCTAAGAGAAAGTGGAATGCTTGGCAATAAAGCTTGTGATACACCACAAGAGCCTGGGCTGAAGCTTAGTGAAGATCAAGGAGGCGAGCTTGTAGCTAGGGGAAGGCACCAGAGGCCAGTGGATAAGCTTATTTACTTATCTCATTCGCGTCCTAACATTGCTATTGCGGTGAGTATGGTTAGTCAGTTTATGTATGCTCCACGTGCAAGTTACTTAGAGGCAGTTATGCGGATTCTGCAGTACTTGAAGTCTTCTCCAGGAAAAGGTCTCTATTTCTCCAAACATGGTCATCTGAGTGTGGAGGCATATACAGATGTTGATTGGGCTGGCTCAGTCACTGATAAACGGTCAACCTCTGGCTATTGTACTTTTGTCGGAGGAAATCTAGTAACTTGGAGAAGCAAGAAACAAAATGTAGTTGCATGGTCCAGTGCAGAGGCTGAATTCAGAGCTATGGGCTCAGGGTGTGTGTGAGCTCTTATGGATTCGATTATTTTTTAGGGATTTGGGGATTCATCAGACAGATTCAATGAGGCTATACTGTGACAACAAGGTAGCCATCAATATAGCTAGGGAATAAATCATTTTGTGACATTCTCAACAAGCTAGGCATGAGAGATATCTTCGCACCAGCTTGAGGTGGAATGTTAGAATATAGAATGTTAGAATATAGAAATATTTTCTATTTCATTCTTTTGTATATTTAGTATCTTTATTTATGCCTTAGAATGCTCCTGTAATTATGCCAATGAGTTAATATACAAGACGGTGAGATATCACACATACCTCTAACTAAACTTTTCTCTTCTCTAAATTTACACTGTATCACTACCATCAGTGATTAAGCAGGTTGACAATGTTAATGGTGACCTAGCTATTGAGTGCAGAGGCTGAATTCAGAGCTATAGGCTCAGGCTGTGTGTGAGCTCTTATGGATTCGATTATTTTTTAGGGATTTGGGGATTCATCAGACAGATTCAATGAGGCTATACTGTGACAACAAGGCAGTTGTCAATATAGCTCACAATCTGGTTCAGCATGATAAGACCAAGCCAGAACCAAGCATGTGAAGATTGATAGGCATTTTATCAAGGAAAAGCTCACTAGTGGCATTATATGTACTCCATTCGTGAGGTCTAGGGATCAACTGGCTGATGTTCTCACCAAAGGCTTAGGAAATAAATCATTTTGTGACATTCACAACAAGCTAGGCATGAGAGATATCTTCGCACCAGCTTGAGGTGGAGTGTTAGAATATAGAATGTTAGAATATAGAAATATTTTCTATTTCATTCTTTTGTATATTTAGTATCTTTATTTATGCCTTAGAATGCTCCTGTAATTATGCCAATGAGTTAATATACAAGACGGTGAGATATCACACATACCTCTAACTAAACTTTTCTCTTCTCTAAATTTACACTGTATCACTACCATCAGTGATTAAGCAGGTTGACAATGTTAATGGTGACCTAGCTATTGAGAATGTTGAGTCTGACTCCGCAGTGAAAAATGTTGAGTCTGACTCTGCAGTGAAAAATGTTGAGTCTGAATCCACAATGAAAAACGGCAAAGTTTATGTCAGGGAGAAGAATAGAAAAAAAGTTACTTGGGTACAAGAGACCGATTTGGATTCTCCACTGTTATTTTCTCCTTCTAATGTGTCCAGAATCCTCTTCTTCTGATGAAACTCCAGGTAACTCTATTCTGTCTGATCTCAATGTTCCCATTGCTAAAAGGAAGGGGGTTAAGTCTTGTACTGAACATCTTATTTCTCATTTTGTCTCCTACACTAATCTGTCTTCTTCCTATAAAGCTTTCCTGTCTAAAATATCTTCGGTGAGTCTTCCTTCTAATTTTCAGGATGTTCTTTCTACTCCTGAGTGGAAGCATGCCAAGATGGAGGAGATGAGAGCCCTTGCTAAAAATAGCACTTGGAAATTAGCTGAGTTACCTAAGGGCAAATGACATGTTGGATGTAAGTGGGTGTACACCGTGAAGCACAAAGCCGATGGTTCAATTGAACGTTACAAGGCAAGATTGGTGGCCAAAGGCTTTACACAGACTTATGGAGTAGACTACCAGGAGACATTTGCTCCTGTTGCTAAGATGAACTCTATCAGGGTCCTCTCCCTTGCCTCTAATCTCGACTGGCCTCTCCATCAATTTGATGTGAAGAATGTTTTTCTTCATGGAGATTTGGAAGAAGAAGAAGTGTACATGGACATTTCCCCAAGCTTTGAGGATGTTAAAACCAAAGGAAAAGTGTGCCGACTACGCAAGACACTTTATGGACTCAATCAGTATCCTAGGACTTGATTTGAGAGGTTTACTCAAGCCATGCTGCGATATGGTTTCAAACAGAGTCAAACTGATCATACTTTGTTCATGAAACACTCATCACATGGTAAGACGACAACTCTTATTGTTTATGTGGATGATATTGTACTCACAGGGGATGATGTTGAGGAGGTTCCTCAGTTAAAGGAGAATTTGGCCACTGATTTTGAAATCAAAGATTTAAACAGCTTGAAGTACTTTCTAGGTATAGGGGTTGCTCAATCCAAAGATGGCATCTTCATATATCAAAGAAAGTATGTGATTGTCTTGCTAAAAGAAATTGAGATGCTTGGAAGTAAAGCCTGTGATACACCACTAGAGCCTAGACTGAAGCTTAGTGAGGATCAAGGAGGCGAGCTTGTAGACAAGGAAGGTACTAGAGGCTAGTCGGTAAGCTTATCTCCTTATCCCATTTGTGTCCTGACATTGCTATTGCAGTGAGTATGCTTAACCAGTTTATGCATGCTCCATGTGCAATTCACTTAGAGGCAGTTATGTGGATTCTGAGGTACTTGAAGTCTTCTCCGAAAAAGGGTCTCTATTTCTCAAAACATGGTCATCTTAGTGTGGAGGCATATACAGATGTTGATTAGGCTGGATCAGTCACTGATAGAAGGTCAACCTCTAGTTATCGTACCTTTGTTGGAGGAAATCTAGTTACTTGGAGAAACAAGAAACAGAATGTAGTGGCAAGGTCCAATGCAGAGGCTGAATTTAGAGCTATAGCTCAGGGTATGTGTGAGCTATTATGGATTAGACTATTTTTGAGGGATTTGGAGATTCATCTGACAGATTCTATGAGGCTATACTGTGACAATACAACAACCATCAATATAGCTCACAATTCAGTTCAGCATGACAGGACCAAGCATGTGGAGATTGATAGGCATTTTATCAAGGAAAAGCTCACTAGTGGCATTATATGTACACCATTCGTGAGGTCTAGGGACCAACTGGCAGATATTCTTACCAAAGGATTAGGGAATAAACCATTCCGTGACATTCTTAATAAGCTGGGCATGAGAGATATCTTTGCACCAACTTGAGGGGGAGTGTTAGAATGTGTTAGAATATTTCCTATTTTATTCTTATGTACATTCAGTATCCTTATTTTATGCTTTAGGGCACTCCTGTAATTATGGTGATGATTTAATATAAAAGGGGATGGGATACCACTCATACCGTTAACCTTTTTTCTCCTCAAAATTGACAAAGATCTTGTTTAGTTTGACCTACATTTTATAGCACAAAGTTTAGATAATTTGAGTATTTAGCAAACATGACCTAACCTTTGCCATAATTTGCACAAAGTAGCTGCCTTCAGGTTCAAACCCACAACCTCAAGATTAATAGATCGTTGTCTATTGAAGAAAAAATAAATAAAAAATTCTGTTACCTTTCGGCCTTTTCTGTCCATGAAAACTTTCTTTGACGTGTTGGTTTCATCCTTGAAAGGGCACACTCGTGAATAAAAGAACGATGCTCCGCTTCTTCATTTGACTCTGCCTCTTCTATTGCCTCCATGTGATCTTCATCTTGACATGATTCTAAATTACTGTTATGCTCTCCCAAAGAAGCTGAGAATAAATTTTGTTCTTCTGTGAACTGATTATCAGCATCAGATAATCTAACACACCTCTGCCCACTTGAGTGCCTATCTGCAGTGCGAGCTTTTCTATGCCTTGATGACCTTCCTTCTGAGGATTTTTTTCTATTCCGTGAAGATGAAACACGTCTTTTCTTAAGCGGCTGAAAGTCCTCCCCTTCTACATTTAAATCTCTTTGATATCTTGTAAGACGGTGTTGCCGCTTATCATAATAGACACGAAGCACCTGCAAGTGACATTTTCCCATGTGGCTTAGAAAAACTAACTGAGCCAACACTAATCATTTTAAGCCCAAATCATTTTTCTTAACAAAATAATAAATAAATAAAAAGGTAAATATCTTAAAACACCTTGAAGAGAAAAGGGTGTGTAAACAATTAATAAGCATAGAGGTATTTTACAATGCAGTTTAAACGAGCTAAACACTGTAATAACGATAATAACAACTTAATTAAACTCACAATGCTTTTGTGGAAATCCCTACAGTTTAGGAGTCATATGTAATCCCTATAATTAAGGAATGATTATTGACAGTCCTATTTTAGGTATCCTATTTTAGGTATGTACAGAAGGATGGTGCTGGTGGTCAATAGGGATTACCATGATTCTTGTATATTCCTTTATTGTAGAAGTATTTTACAATGCAGTTCAAACGAGCTAAACACTGTAATAACGATAATAACAACTTAATTAAACTCACAATGCTTTAATCAAAGAAAATTAGGGTGCCACGTAAAAGGGGGCTTCATCAAAAGACACAAAGGGGAAACCCAAACTTTAAGGTTAACATCGAGTGCATGCAAGATTAATAAAAGTGATGCGAGAATAAAATTGAGTGGCTCAAGGCAAAGGAGATCTAGCACAGGGAGTGCTGACCGTGAATTCAGCAAGAGGGACTTAGATCCGTGGGATGTTGATTCATCTAAAGGATTGTAAGCAACTCTTGTAATCACTCATTGTTTATATTATTTAATTCTCCAACATTGTGCATGTGGTTTTTTTTTCTCAATTGAAGTTTTCCATGTTAAAATTGCTGGTCTCATGTGAGTTTTCTTGATTACTTGCTATTGCAATTTTGAAGAAGGAATAGTTCATATATAGAACTTGGCTAGTTGTTCTTAATTGGCTCTGAGTACATTTGATTAAGTTATATACTTTGTTGGTTGTGTTGATCTCTTAGCAAATCCATATTTGAAGTTCATTTGGAATGTCAAAGCCTGTTCCTCAATAAATACAATATATTTTAGTTATTCTGTGATTTTGATGGCGGGCAATGTTAAATCACCACTAGTCCCAAAAGCTTAAGTTATCAGCAAAGGGGATCAACAATACATATCAAGCTCTCCAACACCCTCCCTCAAACGCAACCTCATCTTGCACATGGAGATGCAAACATACAAACATGTAGAGAAACAGAATACAAAAGGAAAATAAATATAAATGGAGAGACTTTTCTTTTGGCCTAACCTCTGATACGATGTTAGATCACTACTAGTCCCAAAATTTAAGCTGTTAGGAAAGGGGCCCAACAATGCATATCAAACTCTCCAACAAGCAATAGTAATAATACTTGCATGACATGTTTCTACAATAATAATCAATGGAAAAGGTTGTATTAAAGAATAGAAAAAGATTAAGCGCCATTCTCAAATTCAGACTGCAGCCTTTTTCTCCAATAATGCCAGTGATCTTTCACCCACACCCACACCCACACCCACACCCACACACATAAGCTGGCATGCTCTCCAATTGCAACCATGAAGAGCAACTGTTAAGGGGGGTTCAAGTTTATTGCGGTGAAGAAACATCTAAAATGACAATAACGAAGGGTCGTCATTTTTTCGAAGCTGCTTCACCAACATAATTTAAGAGTGTAATTCTCACATTCTGAGCTCAATATATGCAAAGCGGAATTGATCAAACAGCCTCATTTATGATGACACTTCAGATTCTACAATTTGCTAATTTCCTAGTATCCTATTATTATCAGACTATAGGTAATAGAGCTGGGGGGTTTTCTTTCGTTTTTTTGTGGCAAAGGGGGGAGAGGGCATACATATAATTATCCCTAAATGTCCAAAGGCAATTTCAGATATTAAAAGTCAAAGCTATCCAATTAATCAATACATTGATATATTAGGGTAAACCCCCAAAGCCAATTAACTGACTGCACTGATAGATCATGTCAACATAATTATTGCAAGGTGATTGCAACCTATTGAATGACTATTATAGTTTCACCAAACAAAAAACAGAAACATGTTAAGCAAACTGAAACAGAAACAGAAACTCACCTGCTCTAATGTCAAATTAAGATCATTTGCAATCTTCTCACACTCTTTAAATGAAAGTTTTTTATTTGGGTCATCATTCACAACACGCTTGAGAAGCTCAGCACGTTGATCTGCTGTCATTACTCGAACCGAGGCCCATGATCGGAAAAAAAATACCTGAATAAAATATTGTTATGATTCTTCACACTTAAGCAAAAGAAACAAAAGAAAATTAAGGGAAGAGAGATACTTGGTGCAAATCATTATTTTGAACATATATATGTTAGAATAGGAATTAAGTTAGAATAGGAAATACGTGATTTTGTGATTGTGTTTCCTTATATTATGCCTTATGACATTCTTGTAATTACTCAGTATTATCAATATAAAAGGGAATGAAGTCTACCTCATTCCCTAACTCTTTCTTTTCTCTAAACCTACATGGTATCAGAGCCTCATCAGGAGGTACCTAAAGTCAATCATAACCTCCTTCTCTTCCACCGTAGGACTACCCATGCCACCCAAACCCTGGCCTGGGACAGTCGTCAACCCTCTCTTGTTTGTCGAGAGCCATAGTGATTTCTTGGTAGGTCGCCTAGGCCCTTTGGTGGTTGTCGCTTGCTCCTGGGTGTTCGACTAGGGCCATCGTGGTCTCCTGGTTGGTCAACTAGGCTTTTGGGTGACTGTCGCTTGCTCATGGGGGTTCGACTAGGGCCGTCGAGGCCTCCCCACTGGTCGCCTAGGGCCTTGGGTCCTCTCTGGGTGGTCGGCTAGCCTCACGAATGGCCCTGGTCTGACCTTGGTCGTATTTGGTAGTTTCTGTTTTTTTTCCTGTTTAGTCTGTTTACATTTTTTTAAATTAAAAAAAAATAAATGCAGTAAAAAAAAAAGGCAATAAAAAAAAAAACCAAAAAAAAAAGTTCTTTTTCTTCTTTATGCTTTCATAGGAGTTATGTCTTTCCTTCCACTCGTTTTTCGGGTTTGTGATTGGCATCGTGTTTGAGGTATTGTTAGTGGAGTCTCCATGACAGATTTGACCAGTGAATCTCATACCTCTTAGCCATCTCAGAGCGAGAGTTCTATTATCCCTTCCACTATGACTGATAACCTCAACCCTGACCTTAAAATCACCACCTCTCTATTCAACGGTCAGAATTACCTAGCGTGGTCGCAAAGTCTGACTATTTTCTTGAAGAGCCGAAGGAAGATGGGATATGTTGATGGGAGGATCCAGGCACCTAGTATTACATACCCTCGTTATGACCAGTGGGAGATCACCAATTCTGTGATTATGGGTTAGTTGATCCATTCTACGGTTCCGGAGATAGGCGAGGCTACGTGCCTATGGACACTGCCCAAGATATTTGGGAGGTTGTCACTACTACTTACTCCAGGAAGGAGAACTTCTCCTAGGCTTTTGAGTTACGTCGCTCCATTGAAAGGTCTGTCCAAAGTGAGATGACTATTTTTCAATATTTTACCTTCCTTAATAATGGGTGGAAGCGACTTGATCACCTTCAGGACTACAAGCATGTCAGTCCCACTGATTCTGTTGGTTTCTAGAAGTTTGTGGTACAAGAACGGGTCTTCAAGTTCTTGGAAGCCTTAAATGTGGAGTATAATCCAGTTCGGAGAAGAGTACTTGGTATGGATGTGCTTCATTCTCTCCAGGAAGCCTTTGCTTTCGTGCAAAATAAGGAGAGTCGCTGCTCTGCAATGCTTCCGTCTACTACTACTGATCGCTCGGCCTTGGTTTCTGCACCCTCTCGTGATGGTGACGGTGTGACTCGTGGTTCTTGTCCTTCCTCTGAGAAGGATAATCTTTACTGTGACCACCGTCGTTGACCTCGCCGCACATGAGAGACTTGTTGGAAGCTGCATGGAACCCCCTCTGGTGGCCAAGGAGACCGTCCTGGTACTCACGGGGGTAGGTCTGGTCAGTCTAGAGGCCGAGGGGCCAATGCACGAGCACATCTTTCAGACACTGTTGAGCCACCATCTTCATCTCCAATTGTCTCCTCCGTTGCTAATGTTTCGGGGTTATCTGCCTCGTATTTTGAGATTGTTCTTCGCTACTTGCTAGACCGTCGAGCCTCCATTTCTACTACAGGTGCACCCTATTCTTCTTTTGCCAATTCAGGTAACTTGGCTTCCTCCCCATATGCATTGCTCTCTCATGTGACTGTACCATGGATTATTGAATAGATGATGAGAAGAAGAACGACAAGAGAGAGAGTTGTTGTATTCTTTAATTCAAAAACATAGGGTTTCCCCCTTACATAGAACTATTTATACTAATAAGAATAAGACATAAAGACCAAACTACCCTTAATACTTAACACTCCCCCTCAAGTTGATGCAAAGATGTTTCTTATGCCCAACTTGTAACAAATAGGGTGAAAGACTTTACTACTAAGACTCTCAGTAAAAACATCCGCCAGTTGATCTTCAGACTTAACAAAAGGCATACATATCACGCCCTTATTCAACTTCTCCTTAATGAAATGTCTGTTAATCTCAATATGCTTAGTCCGGTCATGTTGAACAGGATTGTGTGCAATACTAAAAGCAGCCCTATTGTCACAATACAATGTAATGGGATCACTCCAATCAAGCCCTATATCACTCAATAAAGATTGAAGCCACATTAGTTCACATGTTCTATGTGCCATAGCCCTGTATTCAACTTCAGCACTAGATCTGGAAACTACCGCGGGCTTCTTACTACGCCATGTGACTAGATTTCCTCCTACAAAAGCACAATAACCGGAGGTAGAGAGTCAGTCATCTATAGAGCCTGCCCAATCTGCATCTGTGAACGCTTTCAACCTCAATTGACCATGATTAGATAACAAAATTCCTTTTCCAGGGGCAGATTTAAGGTACCTCAAAATGCGATAGACTGCATCTAAATGAGTTACACGAGAATCGTACATAAACTGACTCACTATCCCAACTACATAGGCAATATCTGGACGTGTATGAGAGAGAGATATCAGTCTTCCCACAAGTCTATGGTACCTTTCCTTCTCCACAGGCTCACCAACCCCACTACAAAGACGATGATTAGTCTCAATCAGTAAATCAGCTGGTCTGCAGCCCAACATACCCGTTTCCTCAAGAAGATCTAGAATGTACTTTCTTTGAGAAATGAAGATGCCTTTATCAAATCTGGCAACTTCAATCTCAAGAAAGTATCTCAATGGACCAAGATCTTTTATCTCAAACTCCTTGGCTAACTGCATCTTGAGATGGGTCACCTCCTCCTCATCGTTACCTGTCACAACTATGTCATCCACATATACAATAAGCACTGTTACCTTATGTACATTGCGTTTGACAAACAAGGTGTGATCCACATTGCTTTGCTAATACCCAAATCCCAGCATTGCCTTTAGGAATCTACCAAACCAGGCTCTAGGAGATTGTTTCAAACCGTACAAAACCTTCTGCAATCTACAAACCTTTCCAACTATAGACTGAGATGAGAATCCTAGAGGTACATCCAAATATACCTCCTCCTCCAAGTCCCCATGAAGAAAGCATTCTTCATATCTAGTTACTGTAAAGGCCATCCCAAATTAGCAACACACAACAAAATAGCTCGAATGGAATTCATCTTTGTTACTGGGGCAAAAGTTTCTTGATAATCTATTCCATATGTCTGGGTAAATCCCTTGGCCACTAGTCTTTCTTTGTACCGTTCAATCGTCCCATCTGCATTGTGCTTAATGGTGAACACTCACTTACATCCGACTGGTTTTTTCCCATTAGGAAGAGACACTAACTCCCATGTGTTATTTTTACTCAAAGCTTGCATCTCTTCTACCATGGCTACCTTCCACTTAGGATCATTGATGGCTTCTTTCCAATCCTGCGGAATACACACAAAAGAAAGAAACGAAACAAAAGCACGATATGGAGAAGATAACGAATCATATGACACGAATTTAGAAATAGGGTGTTGAGTACAGGCTCGAACCCCTTTTTTGAGAGCAATAGGAAGACTCAAATCATCAGTAACAGGACCATCAACAACAGGTGAAGAAATGGGTTGAGGATCATTACCTGTAGAATCAATGGAAACTGGGTGTGGAACTGGCATAGGAGATGATGATTGACTTGGTGGCACAAGAGAAGCTTGCTCTTTCTGACGCCGTGAATAAGTCTTAAGATCAGCTTTATCGAAACGACCACCGATATCCGACTCCTCATCAACAGAACTGCTAGGCTCTCCCTCACCACAAATAACAGTCCACTAATGAGAAAGGAAAAAAGACAACTCATGCTAATATGATGCCGTCTCATCCGCGATCTCATCAATACCACTCTCCCTCTAAGGAGATAGCGGAGAACCAGAAAAAAAGGACTCGGATTGGGAACATGAAGGTAGACCATGTTATACACCTCTAGAACTGGCCAGAAACTGAGTAAGGATCAAAAGGGAGATCCAGTGGACAGGGAGAGATACCAGAGACTAATGGGAAAGTTCATATATTTATCTCACTCACGTCCAGACATTGCCATAGCCGTGAGTATGGTGAGTCAGTTTATGCTTGCTCCAAGAACTTCTCACAGTTATGAGAATCCTGAGATACCTGAAAGCTTCTCCGAGAAAGGGTCTCTATTTCTCAAAACATAACCATCTCAGTGTGGAGGCATTTACTGATGCAGATTGGGCTGGATCCGTCACTGACAGACGATCAACTTCGGGGTATTGCACATTTGTTGGTAGCAACCTAGTCACATGGCGAAGTAAGAAACAGAATGTGGTTGCTAGATCTAATACTGAGGCAGAATTCAGGGTTATGGCTCAGGGTGTATGTGAGTTACCATGGATTGAACTGTTGTTGGAAGACTTGGAAATCCATCAGAATGACTCCATGCGATTATACTGTGACAACAAGGCCGCAATCAACATAGCTCATAATCCAGTTCAACATGATAGAACTAAGCATGTGAAAATTGATAGGCACTTCATCAAAGAAAAACTCACTAGCAGTATCATATGTATTCCATTTGTGAAGACTGGAGACCAACTAGCCGATGTTCTCACCAAGGGGCTAGGGAGCAAACCATTTCATGGCATTCTCAACAAGCTAGGAATGAGAGATATTTTTGCATTAGCTTGAGGGGGAATGTTAGAATAGGAATTAAGTTAGAATAGGAAATACATGATTGTGTGATTGTGTTTCCTTACATTATGCCTTATGGCACTCTTATAATTACTCAGTATTATCAATATAAAAGGGAATGAAGTCTGCCTCATTCCCTAACTCTTTCTTTTCTCCAAACCTACGGTATATACTTTTTGTATCTTTTCTTTTTTCTTTTCTTTTTGATAAGTAAATATGAACAATCAGAAAGGCACCAAGGGGGTGCCATCCATATACAAAAGAAAAAGGGCATCACATATACATCCAAAGGGTGCATCCAGCAATACATGTTCTACTTAAGCCAACAGTTTTTACCACTCTCAAATAGGTTATTTGAAAAAACAGTCAATCTAAAAAATCACAAACATGCTTAATTCTGAATTTTTTTTTTTTTTTTTTTGGTACAAAAAACTTCAAAGCAGAATGTATACTACAGTTCGCAGGCAACTTGTCTAGTATCATAGGCATATTTAATCAACTATTAGAGACAAACACAAAACATTGTCCATACCTCATGAACAACAGAACCAGGGAATGCATGTAAAGCAGCTTTTGAATCAGCAGTAGAATAACTATACTCTAAAGTGTTCCAGTACTCCTCAACAGCTTTTCTGCTTGAAAGAATAAAATCATGTCTGATTTGAGGGCGGAGATCGAAAGAAATGACACCAGAAGATGGCATAATTATTGAGACAGGTTCTTCAATGTAAGGCTTCAGTTCCAATGCGTATGTAAGAGTGGCATGTGGGACATTGGCTGCATCTTCTGAATGTCCATCCCTTACCAGCCGAATCAACTGTCATAGAATCTGCAACAAGTCAGGAATTATAATAATAGCAGAGAAGCAACTAGATACAAAATCACTCTTCAGAAAAGTGACAGACCTACTCCACAAAGAGGACATAAATATATATGAGAAAGATGGGGAAAACAGAAACTTGTGTTCTAACACCAAACCACTAATGGGTGTGTGAGTGCATGCGCGCATGGGTGTGTGTGTGAGAGAGAAAGAGAGATGGGATAACGTGTCCTTGATAAAACAAACCATCTGCAAAAAATGATTAATAAGAGTTTAAAAAAAAAAAAAAAATCAAAACTATTATTAAAATGTATTCAATGCAAATTTCTCTACAATCAGTCTGCAACATATTTATATTGTCTAAAGAATGTAAAACATAAAATCATTAATAAATATTTTACTAAACTTTCAGCACGGAACCATAAATCATAACAAGTCAGTTGTATGAAAGAAACAGGATGTGGCCTTCTGTAATTTTAGCTCCCTCATATATCAGTTTGCTGATCATGCTACTTTGAAACAGTGCAAGGCCCCTAACCCAATTGCTAAACAGATGCAACTCCGTATCCTTCAGGTAATGCATATGGAAACGCAAAAATCAAATAACTATAGAGCAGCAGAAATGCTGAGAACATTGATTACAACAATATTTTTCTATAGATGTCATCAAGCGTTAGACCTTCAAACGTCGCAAAATGTCAATAAGCCATGACAGCCGTCCAGTTGCTTGAGTATCCATCAGGAGTTTGTATTCCTGTTCAGTAAGATCAGAAAGCTGCAAACCACTCCTACATTTATCAATCATATCTTCAAACTTTTGAGTGGACCCCACTACTTGCAAGAACAGCTCAAGTGGCATGGCCTTAATAGCCGCATCCAGTGCAAACAATTTGCAAGTGCTATGAGGATTCTTCAGGTCATACCCATGTTTACCAGATGATAGAGCATCATCCCAACCAGGTGAACTACTGAGGTAGCCCCATAGATGGATGTGCAGTAGCTTTGTGCGAACCATCTTTGCCAATACAAATCCATTAGCGCGCATGGCTTCTGACCTCTCAGCTTGGAAATCTAATTTTGCAGGTTTTAAAATTCTCTGGACACCATCCAATATAGGGACTGATTGACCCTTCTTTAATCGAGAAGAGCCTTGGGCACGAATTTCCATATCAAAAGACCTCAATCTCTCATGAATTTGACCCAATGTTTCAGGGGATACATGAACAGATGGTTGCAGAACCACATCTATTATACGACTGCGACCACAGTTTGAGACAGCAGGAACACTAACTCGAATGCATTTACAGTGTCCTTCTTCTTGAAGTTTATTCAGAATACGATCTAAGGTCCTTCTGTCCATCATTGTATGCTTGTCCTTCTCAAGACTCTCAAGCCCTCTATGTAGCTCAGCTCTAATAATGAATTTCTCCTTCTGCTCAAAGAGAAATGAATCATACAGGGGTTTAAATAAGTAGATGTGTGCCCTAGTAAATTAAAGAAACAAGAGTTACTGGATGATGAGAAAAACCTGCAACCTTTGAAGTATCCACTGCTCCCTTCGGGCACTATCTGCAGTTAAAGTGAGACATGGATACCTCTGATATGATCGTTGTCTAGGAGGTGTTGACACAAGAAGGGGTGATGTTTCCTGTGGACCAACATTTGATGCAGCTTCTGTACTCACCACACAAAGTTCTGCATGAGAAACTATACCAGTTAGCTCATTGGCCAAAATTTTGTAGATTGCTTCTACAAAAGCATCATAATGTTGCACTCACCATCTGCTGGAGAACCATGAGAAAGTTCTGCTTCAATCACCTTCTCTTGAGATTTCCTGATGTCTCTACCATCAACTTTAGAAGTCCAAAGATCTAACACTGGAATGGTTTCAGCTGACTTCTCTTGCCAAACAAGATCCCCAGCAGAAGGATTAGAAGCACCATTTTCATTCAAGACATTTTCTGGCTTACTCGCAACAATATTAGATGTTTCAGGATTGAAGTTCCCATATGTCCAAACTCGATAAGCCACACCTCTATTATGGCTTTCTGCCTGCAGATGCATTCCAAACCTAGAGAACATATTAAGAAGCCGAGTATAATGCCGTTTGTTGTTTATCCCAAGCCTCTTGCAGACCTATTCATAATGTTATAAACATGCATGAAAATTAGTGATCTGCATTGCAATATAAAGGCATTTTCAAGAAGGCATTGTACGAAACCAAACCATAAAAACACACCTTAAAAGAAAATATACATACCATGAACATAATCTAGAACCATAGTCCACCAAAATCAAACTTCTTTTAGTAAGTAAATTTTATTAGCAAAAAGCACCTGAAGGGTGGAGCGTGCTCAGAAAGTACACACACACAAAAAAAAAAAAAAAAATCTAAAAGCCCATCACCAAAGTGGAGCTCACCTCAGTAATAGTTATCCCTTTTGCTCCTGCAGCATCAACCATATCATAGATTTGATGTTCGATGGGAAGCTCCACTAGCTGGTCAGTGATTTGACCTCTCTTTCCCAGTTTCACCGGTTGTTCCGTGTCAGGATCATCATCTCCAAGTCCAGTAGTTTTAGGCTCAAAATTCTTTGGGGAAAAGCTTTTCAGCAAACGCAAACAGTTGACCGCCTGTTAAAAGAACAATGATATCAAGCAGTGAACGAAATGAAGAGTTCTTGTCCACAAACTGTCAGAAATTCGTTCAGTTGGAAACAACAAGATATTCATGCATAATATTTCAATAGGTAAAAATGTGCATGTGTAGTGCATAATGTGTGGATGAACAAGACCAAATCATCCACATTTAATCTGCTTTCAAGTCAACCTATAAATCACCTTCACATTTAATCCTATAAATACGTAAGCTTAAAAAGCATTAGGTTGAACAACCCAGCAAATGACTCAATCTCATCAAACTAATTTCAAGGACGAATGCACTCTTGTGGAGGATGAAAAAAGAACTAATGGTACTCCAAATGAATCAACAAAAAAAGTTTGTATTAACTGACTACTCCTATTTGTACCATAATATGACGTATCAAAGAAAATTGTGCAAATACCTGTCTTAGTGTTTTTTTTTTTTTTTTTTACACCTCATTAGTGGTGGTATTTCAAACTAATTTCAAGGACGAATGCACTCTTGCGGAGGATGAAAAATGAACCAATGGTACTCCAAATGAATCAACAAAAAAAGTTTGTATTAACTGACTACTCCTATTTGTACCATAATATGACGAATCAAAGAAAATTGTGCAAATACCTGTCTTAGTGTTTTTTTTTTTTTTTTTGGATAAATAAAATACCTGCCTTAGTTAAACAAGATGGGAGAAAAGTAAGGGAGTGAAAATGAAAGCAATAGTTTAATTATATTTAAATAATGGAAATGAAATAAAAGGAGAAAAGAAACTAGGAGTTTGAAGTAACACAGAGTCATCATTCAGAAACAATGCTTTTGACTTACTTTCTCGTTCACTTTTGCACAAAATTCCTCAACTACACGAGCATCTTTCAGCCTGTTAATGATCTAAAAAACACATTGCTGCGAAAAATCAGTAAAACAATTAAAAGGATAAACAATCCATAGTTAAATGAATAAAAATTGAATATAAACTTACATTTCTCCAAGCCCTATGTCCAGGAGTTCCTCTGTAACCAAGGTCCCGCTTAATATCTGCCACAACAAGAATCTTCAAAGGAAAAAACATATCATAAACCAAGTTTAGCATAATGATACACAAATAGCCTTATGGGCCTGCAGAATGTAAATACAAGTCACCTTGCCATCAGCTTGGTCAAGTTTATCGCAGATGGCTTTCAGTGCAGGCAGATAATCTTTTACATACACATCCTCTTTAGCGCATTCTTCAGCAGCACCATCACCACTCACAGCATTTACATCCGCGTTCTCATTAGCCACCAAGGTTTTATCCTCTTTAGTAATTTCAAGTCTTTGTTGACAACCCAAATGCTTTGCATAACGGTATAAATGAAGCATATTGGTATTCACAATTGAACTATTTTTTGGAACCCCTTCACTGCTACTTTCTTTGGTCCTCACAATTGTTGACTGCCTCACAATCAGCCCTCGGCACTCTAGATTCCGCAATATATAGAAAATGTTGTTTCCTTTCATGCCAAATTCCTTAGCAAGTTCACTTTGGGTAATACCATTTGTTCTGCAAAAACCCAATATGTCAACAAACAATGCAAAACAATATTTAGACTTTCTCTATCAGTTTCTTGGCAAAGAGTACATTCACTTATCTTACAGATGGTTTAGATTAACAAGTGAATTCAAAAATAACATAGTTCATACTTCATAGCAAGGGATTCATAAATTTATGTAACCCTGTGTACGCTACTGATAAGAAGTATATGTACATGTATATATGTCCATGCATCTGATTTTCAAGAGCTTTTTTTTTCTCTCAAGAGTCAAGAGATGAACCAGAAAATGTGAATAACAAAGCAGAATGAATGGTTACATTAGTCTCAGTTCAGTTATAATGAAGTATCTTAAAATCAAAACATCAATTTCATTTCCTCCATTCCTTAGTACCAACTGAGTAAAAAATATAATATCCAAAAATTGCAAAACAAACATTAGAGGAAAGGCAGTAACCCAATATTGACCTGATTCTCAAGGTTCACTGCATTCCCGAATGCTCTATTTGGTTGACTGGAATGAAATGGAATGATCATTCCCTTACAATGTTAAATGATGATTCCATTTACAATGTATTATTTATTAACTTTTTAGTCAATCAAACATGAGAATGGATATTTTGATGGAATAGTCAATTCAATTCTATTCCACTTCATTCCATTCCAATGAACCAACACTACCTAATAATAGTCTAATGAACAGACCCAATTGAAACCACCAAATCTAACCAATTGGGCTACTGCTTCCTCTTTGTGTTAAAGCAGTATCTAACCAAAGTATTTATCCAATAAGGGTGTTTTTTTTATTCTGATGTATCAAACAAAAAAATAAGGGTGTTTGGGGACAACCTAAAAAGGTCAATTTTTGGCTTTAAAAAAGCCTAAAGGCCACTAAGGGTTGGTTTGGCAAGGGCTCATTGGGCTTTTTTGGCTCAATGAGCCATAAAAGACAGAATAGGCTCATGAGCCACAACAGACAAAACATCACATCCAACCCCATAATCATTACACTCTTCTCTCACAAAAAAATCAAAAAAGCCAAAAAGCCAAAAGCCCCTTTTGAGCCCAGGCTCATATAGTCAAAAAAAAAGCCAAAAAGTCAAAAAGCCAACCCACTTCCCAAACGGAGGCTAAGCTACATATTTTGGGAAGTGGATTTTTGATCCAAATAAACCAATAAGCTGCTTTTTCCCTAGTTGCCAAAATAGAAACTTTTTCATTAAAATAAATAAATAAATAAAATTTTTAACAACTTCTCAAACACATTCTTTTATAGCTCTAAAGGCATAAAAATAAAAATAAAATAAAAAACCCAAACACCCTCTAATTCCAATCAATTGCACATGGCAATCAGCCAATCTCTCACCCACAAGGAACTACCTTTGACATACCGTGAATTCTTTACCAACCCAATAAACAGTTCTCAAAGTTCCATATAACTGCTCTCTTGTCCATGTAAGAAAATGTCCAAATTCATTGATTTTCACCCTTTTCAAAACACTTCTACACAAATTCTAATATTAAACAATGCACAAGTCACTCATTAGCACCCTTCTACACAATTTCCAATTTAAACGATACACGAAGTCACTCATTAGCATAAATCACTGAGACAAACCTGGCAATGGCGAGACGCTCAAGCGCGCGACGCTGGGGCTGCGAAACACCAGCATCAGAAGCCTTAATATCATAAATCCCAACAAAACTATTGCGAAGATGCTCAGCCGCAACAATCTTCAACTCCAACCTCTCACAATCCTCCAACTTCCGAATCTCCGGATCCTGAGAATCATACAAAACACCTTGAGCTTCGAATTGAAGCCCCGGGAGGTTGAGGAGGTTGGTCCAGATTGCTTTTTTCACGTTGTGGCAGAGAGGAAGGCCATGGGAGGAGAGAGAATGGAGGAGATTGGGCCAGAGGGTTGAGAGTGAGAGGCCATTGACGCCATGAGAGCAGATTTCTTCGAGAGCTGAGTGGACGATTGAGTCCATTGGTGAAGGAGGAAGAGAAGAGCATGAAACGGTTATGGTGGTTGGAGATTGGGTTGGGTTTTGGCGCGCAAGAGAGAGGGTTTGGTTTGATCGAGAGTAGTGAAGCAGAGATGTGGATTGGAGGTTTTTGCAGAGAGCTTCAGGTTTAGGGTTCGAATCGTACTGCAGAGAAAAAAAAGTGATTATTAATCAAGCAATTTGTGAAAATTCTGCGTTGCGTTTTGTCAAAAGCCGAGATTATTATTCTTTTCCCGGTAAATTTCCATCGCAAAATTAAGGGATTATTTGGGATGACTTAAATAAGTGTATTTTTTATCTTTTTATAAAAAGATATACAGAAAAGTAAAGAGATAATGTGATTAAAAAAATAAAAAATGTGTACTTATTTAGGATAACCAAACTTAGCCTAAGTTGTTAATCAAAAAAGTAAACATTAAACATAGTTTTAATTTTTTTTAAATTAAATTTTTTGTGTTTTCGTATTTTTTTTTAATATTTAGTGAATTTTTAAAAAACAATCACAAATATTGTACTTTTAAAATGTATTTTATATTAAGTGTATCTAAAATTTTTTAAAAATTACTTAAAATATTAAAAAAAATCACTGAAAATAAAAAATATATATATGTACAAGAAATAAAAAATAATAATTTTCTAAAAAAATGAATTTAAAAAATTGAAACCAAATAAGATGTGTAATGTTAAGTAAATAAAAATAAAATATAATATTTAACATATATTGGTTGTAACCTCATTTGGTAGTAGTCTTTTTTGTTAACTTTGTGATTTTAAGTTCAAGCCTTGTTCTGACTTCTTCTTCTTTTCTTTTTTTTATTATAAATAACTAGACATTTGGCATAAAGAAAAAAAAAGTTTCAAAACACTAATCTAGGTGCTCACATATATATCTTGTTATCTAACTTATTCTTCTTCGTCTTTTTATAAATAACTGAACACTTCGCATAAAATCAGATAAAATTTTAAAACGCCAATCTAGATGCTCATATATATAGTAGTATAGATAATCAATTTTTTTTATTTAAATTATTATTTTACAATGTGAAGGTTTGAATGAGAAGTTGCATAAATATTTATGAGTTAAATCGATGTGAGTTTATATTTAAACAAAACTAAGGGGCTGTAACAGAGTCTCTTTTCGGGTCGGTTGCGGCCACGAAACTTTCAATCCACCATCCGTCCGCCAGATTGGCGGATTGGAGAAAATCAATCCGCATCCGTCCGCCAATCCGACGGATGTGGATTGAGCGGTTCGGCGGTTTGGCGGATGGATGCGAATCGACGCATCCGTCCAAAATGCGACGGATCGGTTTGGTTCGGTCGATTTTGGCGGATCGGTATATCCGTTACTCACCCCTAACTGTAACAGAGTCTCTTTTAAATGGAGGATTTGGATTCCACTTTTAAGAGTGGAGCAGAAGAGCAACGTCTAAGTGGTTATAGGGAGAGGACAAGAGTTTAACTCTTCTTAGGTATTAATTTAATAATTAATTGTTGGCTTTAGTTGGTAAACAAATTATATTTAAATGAAAAAACTTTAAATAAATTTACTATTACAACGGTGCAAGTGTATTTGCTTCTTTTGGCAACTTTTAATTTTAGTTAAAAAGTCAAAAAATTATTATAAGTTATCATATCACTATCTCTATTTTATGCATATCTTTTTATAATAAAAAAACAAAACATTACTAAAATATTTAAATCTTAAATTAATATTCATAAGAAAGAGGTAACAGAGCTAGAGTTTAACAAAACATAAACCGGGGATAATTTAATCCCTTCTAGAGCCAACATTCATCATGTCAGCAATTAATAAAGCAGATATGGATCTAGGTGGATCGTCTAAGAATATGAGATGTTCCTGTTGATTAACTCCTAAGTTGGCCATAGCATCTGCACTTTGATTAGCTTCCTCGGGTATGGCTTCAATTGAGCATTGGCATCTTCTTAGGAGGAAGTTTGCATATTCGATAAGTGTTTTGTCTACTGAGATTGTTTCAGCTCCATCTCGAATGAGCTCCATAACCTTCTGGGAGTCAGTCTCAATTTAAATGTTAGCCATTCCTTTCTACACGATAATAGTTAAGCCTTTATAGATGCCTTAGAGCTAAACCTCCAGACCTATGCAGTTGCCCAGGTAGCCATAGAATCCCCACACCCAAGTGCCTGCTTCATCTCTGAGTAATCCTGCATATCTTGTTTGCCTAGGGTCTCCTTTAGACCTACCATTAGTCTTCAATTTAAGCTTACTTGCAATGGGACAAGACCACATCATTAGTTTAGGACCTCTATAATTTGGGTTCGAAATGGCCTGAAAAGCTTCCAGAGTTTCCATGGCTTGATTTAAAATGAGTTTAGCTTGTTCAAAGTCAATCTCAAATTTGTTTGGGGAGTAATTATTATTTTATTTTTTTGTTAAAATATGAGGTGAAAAAAATTGAAATACGTTATAATATATTTTTTACTTTTTACAAAAAAAATAAAGAAAATAAAAAAAATAACCTTTTTATATGACTCATAATTTTTAAAAAAAATTTAAATGACTTTTTAATATTTTAAATAAATTAACCTGCCAAATTTAAAGTTTGATAGTTGATGGGGTTCCACTAACTCAACTCACAAGTACTAATCAGCATTATAATAAATTGAATGGCATGAAATGTCAAGGAGTCATTATAACTATAAACTCTAGATATTATTCTAAAGTGGGTGTTTTGGGTGCACTTTCTATCTCTTCAGACAAATCAACAGGTTAAATAAACTTTTAAAGCTATTCCACTGGACCATACCATTACCTAGCTTAGAGCATTCTAATGGGATATTTAAAATTAGGGCAAATTAAAAAAAAATATATTCCAAGGTTTTGTGTGTCTTTCAAATTAAACTCCATAATTTTAATTGTATCAAGTTAAATCCTAAAATTTTTCAATTCCTATCTTCTGTACAGTTCTGTTAACTTTTTTAACAGAACAAGATTTAATAGAACACATGGCATTACTTTACTGGTTCTTTTAATTTTATTTTGATCTCAACTTTGATTTTACCGACACCATATTAGTACCAAGATTTATCAACCATCAAATAAATCAAGACCACCCATCATGAAAGGTACAGTACGTTAAACACATGGGATCAACTGTCTCTCTCTCTCTTTGAATTCTGGCAATTCATGATCGCCAAGAGCATTAATTTCCTACCCTTAGTGAATGGCCCTAATCTCATCTTCCTCCGATCTATTGGTCTACCATACCAGACACCAAGACTTCGTGTGTCTCTCTCCAAACACCAAACCAGACTCCCTGTTTCTCTCTCTCTCTCTCAACTGGGTACAAACACTAAACCAAACACCATACCAATCTCTAGCAGTAGATTCAACCACTTACACTTTCTCTATCTACACGTAAGCCAGCCATGGCCTCATATTTATCTCCCACTCTTTTTTCAAGCCATTTTCTCCCGCTCCACCACTCACCCCCATGGATCTTCTAACCCTTTCGACCATCATCTCTCTCTCCTCACCTTCTGAGACGATAGAGAGGGTAATGAATCTGAGAGAGATACAAAGGGGGATGGCATATCTGAGGAAATAGAGATGGGTGAGTAACGATTCCAAACGATGTGGTAAAGACAATGACAGATCTGAGGGCGGAGGTCAATGGATTTGAGTGAAACGGTGATATGTAATGGTGAACCATGGTGGATTTGAGAGAAGTAGTGGCAGGAGAGGTGGACTTGAGAGCTAGTGGTTGCAGAAGAGGACTGCCGATGGTGTGGGTGGCGGTAATTTGTTGATGGCGATAAGCAGCAGTGAGGGGGAGGAGATGGTGGGATTCAATTCGAAGCTTTCTAAGCCACATCATTAGCTCTATTATTCAAGAATCTTGGGACATGAGTTACATTTGCTATATGAAATTGAGAAAGCAGATGTAATGCAACAACATAGTATGGCAACATGCTTATACTTTGACATTTGAAAATCCCTTTCACTTGGTTAACCACCAATTGAGAATCTCCAAATATGTCAACTTCATGAACTTGTAATCCAATAAGAATTTCCAATCCCACTATCAATGCTTCATATTCAGCTTAATTATTAGAACAAGTAATTTCATCCACTCTGAAACCATGTGCGGTTTTTATTCCTTGTGGTGACTTAATCACTATACCAATTCCAGTTAGGCCATTGGCTTTCGATCCATCGAACCACATTTGCCATGGCTCAACACTAGCCATACCAAGTTCCATTACCTCTTGGCTCTCTGTTTGAGATGGATGGTCTGCCAAAAAATTGGCTAAAACTTGTCCTTTTACTGCCTTTTGGGGAACATATTCTAGATGAAATTCTGATAAAACTAGTATCTATTTGCCAATTCTTCCCCTTAACATAGGTCTAGATAACATATATTTAACCAAATCTGTGGTTGCAATTACTAAGACAGTTGTAGGCAAAAGATAATATCTTAATTTCATTGCAGCAAAATACAATGTAAGGCACAGCTTTTCTATAGCTGAATATTTACATTCACAAGAATTTAAAAACCTACTAAGGTAATAAACAGCTTGCTCCTTGTCTTCTTCATTGTCTTGGGCTAAGAAAGCTCCCAATGAATCTTCTGTTGCAGTTATGTACAACTTCAAAGGCTTATCGCCCTTTGGTGGCATCAGCACTGGAGGGTTGGCCAAGCAGGCTTTGATTTCTTCGAAAGCAATTTGATGCTCTGCTGTACATACAAATTCCTCTTCATCTCTTAACCTTTGCAAGGAAGAAAATACTTTAGTTTTCCCTGCAGTGTTAGAAATGAATCTTCGAAGAAAATTAACCTGTCCAAGGAACTTTTGTAACTCCTTCTTACTTGATGGGGGTCTGGCTTCAATGATGGCTTTGGCTTTATTCTGGTCAATCTGTATTCCTTTCTTGTGTACTACATAGCGCAAGAAATTTCCAGATGATACGCCAAAAGCACACTTAAGAGGATTAAGTTTCAACTTGAACTTTCTCATTCTTTCGAAAGCTGTTTCTAAGTGAAACAGATGCTCCTCCATGGATTGGGATTTAACTACAATATCGTCAATATAACACTCAAAATATCCTCCAATGAGGCCGTGAAAGATAGTGTTCATAGCCCTCTGATATGTAGCCCCAGCATTCTTCAGACCAAATGGCATTTTAACCCATTCGAATGTGCCAATA